AGCATAATTTCCCAATTCTTGGGATACCAAGTTCTCGTAGAAGGAGTTATCACCAAGAACAGACAATCTCGGAAACGCCTTTCATGCTTCTTGAGGATGGTGGCCAATGACAGCCTTTAAGGTTTCTTATCTAACGAAATCTAAAGCTAAATTTTTCCTGCTGAATCCGACGCCATGGTATACAGTACTTTTGCCAAACTCAGTGGCTCTAAACTGCACCAGCTACATTTGCTAACTAGTCTTTTTTTACTGTTCGTGTTTGGCACGTGAGAACTCTAACCAAGCCAGAAGTGGTATCATTTTGACATTGAGGAAACTACTCTATTTCTAGTTGATGTAATCATAATACTCACATGCAGTCTTCTGCAGCATTAGGTTAACAAGGTCACATAGCAATAGAAAGAAAGGGGGGGAGGGGGGGGAGGGGATACTAGGGGCAGGAAACTTCTTCAAGCTCTCAGTTTCTTGCCAAGGGAGAAACTCAGTTCCTCCCTTTAAATGAGAGCACAACGTCGCATTTGTACCAGAATTCAAAAAGAGGCCAGGTGAGCTGCAAGGTTCTTTACCTCACAAACTGGGCAATGTCGATAGATAAACTGCTTGAGAAGCTGCATGAGCTGTTGTATGTATGTCTTAAACCAGAAAAAAGAAAAGACAAAGTTTAATAAACGGTCGACTTAGAAAACCACTCATTCCAATGTCACAGATATCAGCGAAAATCACTATGACCGGAAAGCTGACGATTGTTCAAATTTTGCATTGCCAAAAGGTATGAGTTTACGAAAACTAGCATGGAAGTGTTAGTACAATGGAAAGGCAGTTCGCACCAAACACTACCGGCATGTAAATGATGCATGTACAGTGCTAATCACACTTGTCTATAACGCGCGAGCGTGCGGCTTTCTCCGGGGAGCGCTAGACTGGTGGCATTCGCGGAAACTAAGCTAGTCACGTGGCGCAACATGGAACGGCCCGCTCGAGGGGTGTCCTGCCCACTCTATCAGCTGGCGGCGAACACGGAAGGATGCTCACACGCTTTTTACTATCATTGCTCGAACAATAAACAAACTGAAGCATGAAGGCATATCAACGATGTCATAAAAAAAAAAAAAAAAAAAAAGAAAAACATCATCAAGCACTCTACTTTTATCGCTTATCAAGCGATCGAGTGGGCAGGATACGCCTCGAGCGGGCCGTTCCATGTTGCGCCACGTGCCTAGCTTAGCTTCCGCGAATGCCAGCAGTCTAGCGCTCCCCGGAGAAAGATGCACGCTCGCGCGTTAGAGACGAGTATGATTAGCACTGTACTTGAAAATTCCCATAGCTTTTAAAATATACATTCTCACAATAAAATACTGAGATTCTGGCGTCGAGCACTAACGTTCGGAAAAGTCGATCCAGGCTGGATATGTAAGCACACTTGCTGCGTCGACCTAGCATGTTCACCCCTGCAGCAATCAAGACTACCCGAGATATTTTATCCAGTTCACAGAGTAGCATAACTGTTAACAAATTTACTCGGTAAGAAAAACAAAAATCTACGAAATCTTTTTGAAACCGCATGTAAGGCACACAACCAAACTAGCGAAACGAGGATGCTTAATAAATGTTGCGAAGATGATCCGGAGTTACCGCGAAAAACACAAGCAGAATTACAGCAAACCGAAGCTCTCACGACAAAGATCCCAGGTCCAAGACGCCCCCAAAATCTCGCGAACAACAGAGAAGCGACGAACAACACGTTAGGTTTACAAATGGTTCAATACAACGTAATGAACAGGCATATTCATGCACGGGAAGATCTATGAACAAGGACAACATAAAACATAAAAGAAATGAGCAAGGTTCTCCGGAAACCATTAAAAAAAACGGGGGGGCGTCAACGACTGGAACAAAGCGACAATGCATGAAAAGACGCACCTGTCGAACCAAATCACGCTTCGTGGGCCTGGCCTGCTTGCCACCGCCCACCTCCAAATTGGGCTGCAAATTGGTCAGCGCCGGACTCTTGGTCAAAGCCTGGGTCTGCATCTTGCTGTCGGGGTTCTCGGACCTCTTGGAAGGGGCAGCCCCGAAGGGTCTGGAGTTTTCGTCGCCGGCGTCGACAACGGACGCAACGTGAGCTTGACGCCTGGCCATGTTTAAAAAAAAAAAAAAAACGGTCGGCTCGCTTCTTGCGTTCACGGGCAGAAAGAAAGACGGGTCAGTTTGAAAATCTCGCGTCTCTCGGTGTGGTTCCGACTCACGGCTGCATGGGGGCTCCTTTCGGTGACCTTCGTGACTGACCAGAGCCGGTGTGCGGTCTTCGTATTGACGTCCGAATGTGGATTTGTTTCCCACAACCGAGCCAACCGCGCTATCAGAACCCAACTGAAAGAAATGCAGCGATGCTGCTGAGTCAAAAAGCGCTAAATTCCCCGTGACGGGTTGGTTCCGCACAAACGGGCCAACGAAATGCGCCGGTTCGGGTCACGTGAGGCCACGTGTGAAGCCCATACGTCGCTTATTTTTATGTTTTTTGATCGCGCAAGTTTGCGCGACCGCGCGCGCCTTCGCGATCACGGCGCCACCAGCGCCACTTCGAACCTTTATTTGGAAACACAAAATCTGGTCCAAAAATAATAGATATTTGGTGTGCGCTGTGCTGAAAAATTTAAAAATGAATCATTTTTTTTATAATTATTAATCGCTGTTTCTCTGCGGCGTCCCAATGAGCTTCAAGCAAGTCATAAATAACGATTTAATATCTAGTTTATTATGAAGAAAGCTATACGCACTCTGGAGTGGATTTCGGTCGAAGTGGCTATACCCACTCCGCTAAACTCGTATAAAACGAAGGGCCACAACGTTTTTTCTAAGCGATGGCGTAGCCTAGAGGTTAAGGAGTCCGCTTTGTACGCAAGCGGACTCGATCCGCAATGGGTTCGATCCGCCATGAGCATATTTTTTTTTCTCAAAACATTTTGTTTCGTCGAGGCATTGACGATATTTACATTTCTTTTTTGCGATGATGTTGTCGACGAAACTTCGCAGAACTAAATGGAATGGGTCTCCCTTTTCGGAGGTGCGATCGGGGACAGCGGGGCTTGGGTTGCCGGCTGGACTCCGCGAAGCGGCGTATACTGCTTAAGTTTTGTAATTAGCAGCCGATACCGTCGCCGCGAAGCGGCGTGAACGCAGGCGGGGGGCTGTGTTAACGAGCCCCCAGCGATACACGCGCCGTTCGAAAAGGGTGGCCCGAGCGGCATGAGCGCTGCGCGGAGTGCGTATACCCATTTCGTCCAAAATGCACTCCGGAGTGCGTATAGCTTTACTCGTTTATTATAGCCGAAAAATCCCCTCAGAAGAATAGGAGTACGGAACCCGTACACGTTCACAAAGTGTGTAGCTATTTGTTTGACGCCCTTATCGAATATAATATTGATCCTTAAATATGGGCACATGCTTTCATTGCCCGTCGTCCGCGACGCAAAATCACAGTAGGAAAATCTGCGCAGCGTCGGGTTCTCAACGTTGACAATTATTGGGCAAAACAACACTACACAACAAAGCAACAACACACGACTTTCAAATTCGCCATCGCCAAATCACTTTTTCATAAAGAACTTCCAGTACACGATGCCACCGAAGTTGATAATTTTCATGATGATGATCAAAATCAAAATGAGTTTTTTGGTGATCACGCGTTTGTACATGGTGCGCAGTATCTTGCGACTCGTCGTCAATTTCTGATCGGTCTCTTCGAGCCGCTCTTTGGTCCGTACTAGAGACTCGCGCTGCGTGCGCAGCTCTTCGGCCACGGCAACCCCGACTTGATCGGTCTCGGCAGCGACTTGAAACGTTCGCGCGAGGGTATCGGTGGTCCTGCCCAAGGTTTCGTTCATCTAAAGCAGCCGACTGCGCTGAGGATCGTTCCCAAAGTCACCGATGACGGTTGAAGGGCTCAGGAGTTCCTGCCTCGCGCCACTGGCGTTGATGCTAGTCGCCAGTGTGACAACCGACTTGTTGACGTCGTCGAGTTCAGCCCGCTACTTGGGGGTCTTGGCGTTCATCTTGATACGGTACGGGTTGGGCGCCGAGTGGGCTTCGTTCCGGAGTTCTTGGAGGACGTCATTGGCCTGGTCCAGTTTACGCTGTACTTCGTGTAGGTGGGTCTTTTTGCTGTCGCCGGTTTGAAGGCGATTGCTGGTCCCGTCCAACTTGCGCTTGATGTCGTCGAGGAGGGCCCGGAGGTCCTCTTCGAGGTCTTCGAACTTCTCGGACGACATGCCGTGATGCATCGCTGAGAAGTCCAGCGGAAAGCCGGTGGCGTTTACGGACGTGAAGAATGGCGAAAAACGGCTCCAAGACGCAAACGTGACACGAAACACACCCTGCCGTAAAAGATCGCAGAAACCAGCGACAAGAGCAGTGATATGGACGCGCTCGAGAACACAAGTTTTTCCGTCTCATTTTAACAGTGACGTCATTTAGTATCGAATGTTACGGGTTGCGCTGGTTAATTTATTTCTAATATAAAGGATATAAACCGACCGAAAGAAGCAAACATTGCAATGATCAGCTGATGTGAACAATAATTTTCTCTTTTATACCGTTAATGCATTATTACTACTTTTATCATTTTCAGCCATGCCGAGCGTTCTGGCATTTGTTTAATCTTGAAATAAGTAAAAGAACGCACTCAAACAAATCCCGTGACAGAAACATTTATAGATGTAGAAAACAATCTTACTTTTAATTAGACGGCTTCTCGCGCCATCTGCCAATATTATTATTATATTTAAACATGTTTTTTAGTGCTGTCACCAGTGAGAGAAGCAAGAAGCTATCATAGAGGAACAGGGGAGAGCGAAACAGAGACTGGCAGAGATCTTCACAACAGCTGAACGAACGCTAAGCGCTTTTGTTATGGCTCGTGCGGTGCCATGACTCGCTTGAAGTCGCATTAGGTCGTACCACGCTTAGTTCTCGCGCACAGACGGAACAAGGAGAGCGACGAGTGCGTGCCCGTGACCCTGAAGCCGGATGGCGGCGTCGCCATAGTCAAACATGGCAGATCTCGACGCGATCTACGAAGAGGACGACGAAGACCTGAGGGCCAACGAAGATTCGTTGGTGAGCCTCGTACCCGAACCGATGGTCATACGAGGCGCCAGAAACATGACAGTGTAAGTAACGGTCTATCTCCTCCGGACGAGCTAGCGCATACTCCATGTGCCTCAACGTCACGCGCTGCAAGAGTTCTTCACCCCCCACCGTGCATGCGTGCGCTCGCGCGAGCACTTCTATGGTCTATTTTTAAACCATGCTTCGGTGCTTGCTTACGAAAGAAGGAAAAGACCTCCGCGGTATGACCGACAGCGTCTCTGAACGTCAGGTCGCTTTGAAAATAAATAGCGACACAAACAACGTTGGGTTTTTATCCCCTCCAAACGCACAGAGGCAGGTGGCGAGAGCTGCCAGCGACGCGCTTTTTGTTTGTTTGTGCATTTTTCGTGGTAGTTACGGCAAACAAAGGGAACGATATCGCCCAGTGTGTTTTGTTGGCGTGCCGCAACTTTTTCCAGATAGTAACGGCGTGCGTGTGTGGGGAAATGGAGGGGAGGTCTTTTTCCAGCATCGATTCAGCCTCACCCACGTGTTTCTTGTGGTGTCGCGCCCTCCCTCTTCACGTGTCGCACACGTCACGACCATTAAACAGCTCGTCGACCCGGAATTTTGTTTTCATTATCGATCGGCTGATCTGCGAAGTCCGATCCTCAAAGGTAAACCCGGCTTTTTAGCTCTCATAAGGAAAATACGCTTCGCAGAAGGCTGAAACTCCGTGAGATTCTGACCCTTGCGGTAGAGATAAAATGCGAAGGTTTGAGCGCATAATGTTGCCATACTACAGAAAAAAAAAAGTCTATGGGCCGACGTTTACCTGAGCCAAATGTTCACCAAATTAAAATGTGAGACTGTCAGTGCTTGCAGCAATATGTCAGTGAAGAAACTTGTCAGCATGAAAGAAGACAGTATTGTCTTTCTAAGTGGCCAGGGGGGCTATGTTCAACAAATGTTTCGTTGCTCCTAAAACAAAACGGAAGTGACTGAACTGGCATCATGGCGTCTGATTGGTTAGAGGCTCAAATGACGAAAGAGGGAACTTTAGTCATTTGAGCCTCTAACCAATCAGACGCCATGTTTTCAGCTCCGTAACTTCCGTTTCTTTTTAGGAGAAACGAAATATTTGTCGCACATAGCCCACCAGTTTCTTTCACTGAAATAAAGGCTAGAGGTACCTACAATCTCAAATTACTCCTCGATGAATATTAGGCTCAAGTAGATATCGGCTCATTGAGAAGTATTTTTATTTTGGTGTGTCTTTTGATTCAGATAACGTCATGCGCTCACACTTTCACATTTTATCACCACCGCTAGCATCAGATTCTCACTACGGTTCAGCTTTCTGCGATGCATAATTTATTTGTAAAAGCCGTCTTTGCTTTTCTCGATTCGACCACGATTTCCCCCTTTCCCGTTCACTCCTCCATACTGGCGAAAAATCTCCTGCCCGCGAGTGTGCGTGCGATTTGTATTTGTATGACAGTGTTGTCCTCACCTAGCATATTGTATCACCAGATATGAACACAGTTGTTGCAGTCTGACAAGATGAGAATGATGGCTTCCTACTTTCGATAGCGCTTCGGCGTCTTGTAAGCCTGAAATGCGCAGCCCCAGCACTGTGCATGCTGGAGCAGGGGATTTTGAAACAGACGCACTGTCGTTCTTGTCTTTATAGTTTGGACTGTTGCCTTTGTGTGGCTCTCATGAGCCAATAAAGATTTTTATTAATACTTCTCTTTTAGATGCTATGCATTGGTTCATTACCACTAAGTCCCTTTAGTCGACTGTTCTTGAGTGGTGTGACATGGAGGCACTACTCGGAATTGTCAGGGACATTGTCAAAAATCGAGCCCAGTCAGGGAAAATAAGCCGGAAACGCCAACCAGTGCCCTGAGCAAAGACTTGCGGACTTGGTGGAAGAAAAATGGGCAATAACTTCTGCTTAGAGCACAGCGCAGGCGCTGCTCACCCGATGTAGAGTGTGCTACCCGATGCAAAGGGAACAGCCGACAAATCCAGTCCAAGCATTGGATTGGATTGAGGGCGCGACACAAGACTAGACCCAGCTAGGGCTACTAGAGTTACTAACAAATGGGGAAAGCCGCACACCCCATCCCAAGCTTTACAACGAAAGTATCCGAAAGTGTGCATCTGGTGGCCATGCTGCCATTCGGTTATTGACGTGTGTAGTTGAGGGTTGTGTTCTCATCGTGTCTCCGAAAGTGGCCTCTTTACTGACGATGCTGGCAGCAAGAAAGTGCTCATTTAATCCGTACTGGACGAACCCAAATATTTCGGAATATGCAAGTTGATTTAAGCCCGTGCAAAGTTATTCTCACAGTGCTCAGTGCTCAATGCCTTGGGTTGTAATGGGCTTATATATTTAACCGCCTCTACAGTGGTTAGAAAATTTCACCTGAAATTGTCAGGGAAGTTCAAAATACTAATTTGGTAGACACCCAGATCCACATAATAAGCTTCTTCATTGACTCTACTCCCGGAGTAACAGGCTGCCGTGGTACGGGACAAAGCAAAACACACTGCAGCAGTGACCAGTTGTACCTTCTGTTTAAAAAAAAAGTCACCATTGAGCTGACAACTTCTAAGTGTCCCTATGTATGTTTTCCAGTGTTGATCGTTCCCCCGTATCGTTGTGCTTTTCAAACCCTTGATGCAAACCACGGTATCTTTTAAATGCGAAGCCGTGCCGCGCTCAAATATTTATATGATTTACAATATATTTGTATACCCAAGCGGGGAGGGGTGTACACAATTCCTTTGACTGGTCCCTTGTCATGTTACAACAATCACATCTTCATTATCTTCAACGCGTTATGCGGTCCACGCGTGGGACCGTTCCCAGTGTCCAATGGATATCTTTGGAAAGGAGGCAGTTTGTTTAGAAATGTGGCTTTCTTGTGCTTTCAGGTTTGGCCTGAGCAATAAATTCGACACGGAATTCCCGCCAACGCTATCTGCTAAGGTACATACCCTCTTCGAAATCCGCACCCAATCACTGACAACCCTTAATCGCGGTGGTTATCTTAAGAGACGCACTTTTAGAGATATGCTAGTCTTAAGAAAAAAAAGGTTGAGATTTAAACACAAATCTGGCTGTGATATGGTGACGCACAATGTGGGGCCATGAAATTTTGCCGGCTCAATTGTCGTAAAATTGCTTTTTCTCGCTAACATACTTTGGTCCATTTATGGCCAAACCAACTTGATTATAGGCTGTGATACATGTTGCTGGCTTGCAGAAGCTCCTGTGTGCAAACAATCATTCTTTATTGTCTATGAATGCAACCTTGAGCGAGGCTTGCACCAGTTTTTTCATAACTTTAGTTTTAATTAATAATAACTGCCTATTATCACTGAGAGATAACTGTTCCTGTCTAGGAAAACAATCTTTAACAGGACCAGTGAGACTGTTCAGTGCGTTTGGCGCTAGTCTTTTACCGGCGTCCCCACTAACCCTATTTGAGTTGACCGTTGATCTCAATAGGTGCAGGCTGCGTAGGTGCAACTTCAGACACAGCTGGCAGCTCAACTCTCGCCTTTTTCACTGTTTTGTTTTTCATTTAATGCTGTAGGTACTTTCCCAAAGACATTGAAGAAGCATTCTGCCGCATTTAAAGCAAAAAGGAAACTGGTGACTATTTTTGTTGGGTACGTGCACGACTAAACAAATGTGGCTGGTATGTTTGTTTTGTCTTACGACGAGTTTTGCTGGCGCCGCCTGCTCGGCAGTGTCAGTCGACAAAGCTGTCGAAAATCATTGACAACAGAAGGTGGCCGAAAGGCACGCATATTTGACGCGCACAAATGATGTGATACCAATCTACACGGCACGACTCTGACATCAAACTTAGAAAGCGTCAACATTCAAACAATATATTGCGCATACCACACGGTACACCATTATTCGAAAAGGATTTATCTGAGAAAGATAAAAAAAAAGTGAAAGCCGTTTACAAATCCCTGTAACGCCGAATTAGAGCGCAGCTCTTGAGGAGGAGGAGGGAGGGTACTGGGGGGGGTCACGTGACCTTGGGGGGTCACGTGACCTTGGGGGTCACGTGACGATGCCGATGATGTCATCAGTGACGTCACTGATGACATCATCAGTGACGATGACGATGCGGACTCCGATGACGTCATCAGCGATGATGACGATGACGATGCGGATGTCAGTGACGTCATCAGTGACGTCACTGATGACGTCATTCGTGATGATGACGATGACAATGCGGATGCCGGTGACGTCATCAGTGACGTCACTGATGACGTCATCAGTGATGATGACGATGACGATACGGATGCCGGTGAGGTCATCAGTGACGTCACTGATGACGTCATCGGTGATGATGACGATGCGGATGCCGGTGACGTCATCAGTGACGATGACGTCATCGGGGAGGTCACGTGACCTCGGGGGGGGGGGGTGTGTCACGTGCCTTGGGGGGCACGTGACCTCGTGGGTCACGTGACTTTGGGTGTCACGTGACCTTGGGGGTCACGTGACCTCTGGGGGTCACGTGACCTTGGGATGACCTTGGTGGTCGCGTGACCTTGGGGTGACCTTGGTTACGCCGCCGCCGACGCCGACGCCGCTCAAGCCGGGAACGGGCCCCTAAGAGCTGCGCTCTAATAACGCGGCACAGCAGTGTCGACGACAGTCGCGCCTCTACAGTCGGCCGTAATCCAAAAGGACCTGGTTTTGGGGAAAGCTTCCTTTTTTTCACAATACCAGCACCAAGCAGAGAGACAACTGTTCTCTCCAGTCCCCAAGATAAACCTCTACGCAGATTATCTCTGGGACTTGAAAGAACAGTTGTCCTTGTTTGAAGAATTGTGTCGTGGGCCGTTCGATGTTCTTTCCTTGCTTTGTTTCTTGTGAATGTCTAGCAGAACCGCTGAAATGGTGTGCACTTACCAGCTTCATTTTAACGGGGGAAGACAACAGAGAAAGGGCACGGAGCATGCTCAAGGAAAATAAAACAGAAACTTCCAAGAGAGGCTGGAAACCTTTCTATGCGAAACCGCAAAACATTAGTGGGGGATTGCACTGAGCAGGTTTCAACAATCCAGGAGAGTGGCAGAAAAACTATTAGGGCATGCGAGAACCGCACCAGACGCTTTCATCATCAGCAGCATGGTGGCGGCCTAGGAGCGTTATTTCGGAAAGGTTGTGTTTGGTCGGCCCTGGCTGGGCATGCCCGACCCGGAGGAATAACACATACTCAGTTTCGGTTGCTGTCCCGACCGGTATCCCCCTCCAGAAAAGTCGAGTGTCATGCTTTCGCCTGTAATAAATTCTCGGCCCAGTATCACGGGTGCCGCGAGTCCTGGCAGATAAAGAAATCGCTGACGCCGCTTCTTTCCATTAAACAGAGTCCGCAGCCTCACGGCTCCTGCAGCTGTTATCGCTGTACCAGAAGCTAGCTGCAAACAGGTCTTTGCATTCCTGGAGGCTTGTCTCCTATGCTTTGCAGAGAAATCATCTATAAGCGATATGGCGGCCTCAGAATCCTAAAGCATGGCAATGGGAACATGAAGCAGTGAAATCGTCATGCGCGGTTCCATGATGTTGGGCTCCGGCTAGATTCGAAGTACCGATGGAATTTGTGCCGCGGCCTCACTCCTCCCAGGGACTGTGATGACCGTCAGCGAGTCGCTGGCTGGACTGAAGCACCACCAGTGCTCGTTGGTTTTCTGTTAGTATTCTTCCTCGTCCCGTCCACGTCCAATTAAATGTAGTTTCTTGTTGTTGAAACCGGTTTGCTCCATGTTATTTCTCCGGGTCGGGCATGCAGCAAGGCAAACCGACCACTAGGTGTACACTCTATTGCAGGTTAAGAAAAGCGAGACAAGCGCTGCCTGCGAAGCCCTACATTCTTTCGATTTTAGCAGATCGAACACTGGAGAGGAGGCAGGTGAACTCACCTCCTCTTTGGCATTCACTCTGCTTAAGTAGAAAGATTGGAGGGCTTTTTGGGCAAAGCTTGTCAACCTTTTCTTAACCTGCAACAGAGTATGTACTCAAGGACACCTTGCTGTCGCTGTGCGGTCAAAGTTGTCGGCCCATGGGCGCTCGAACATCAGAGCCGCGCACGACCGCCTTTCACTTCTGAAATGCCACAGGATGCAGTCCACGAGTATAGAGGTTTGCATTAGTGAAGTGTGTAACGAGTTTTAGGAACGTGCATTAAAAATACGTTGGGCAGTATACGAGGCAAGCAAGTGGCTCTAACGGAGCAGGCGAAACAAATGGGCACTATGAGCAGATGCCGTTGCCGCACCCATACTTTTCATCCACCGTAGTGGATGGGAAGTGGCGCCATCCTCGTTTACACGTAGGGCCGAAAGTTGTTTCTCGTGCGAGGTGGCGTGCTGTGGTAGCTGTAATTTAACCAGCTGCAAAATTAAGGGCAGGTAGCTCCAGAAGAATTCAAAGCTACCATTGTGCGCATCAACAGCGTCCTGCGCAAGACTCTACCCGCGAACGTCAAGTGGCTTTTCTGCGGCTGCCTGTGTTGTTGCTGTACCCTCGGATGCTCGCTCTGGCCCGTCGCCTGCTTGAGCAAACGGGTGAGTCGTTCGTTTTCTCGAACACTGAGCTCCTTTCCCAACGTTTATCTTTTCCCGAAGTTCTCTTTGGGGGCATCTAGCCCAAGCGCTAAAAAGAAGTACAGTGGAATCTCTATTATTTGAACCCAAGGGGGACCAACACTTTCTTCGAATAATGCAAAGTTTGAACTACCGGGAGTTTCCTCCCTTATAACTCATGGGACGGGACCTGCGTGTTAGATTGAATTATCCACGAGTTTGAATATAGAGGCTTTGAATTAACGAGATTCCACTGTACTAATGAACCCTTTTCAAGTAACAAGGACAGTCTAGAAGGTTGCCTGTGAACTTCAAACGAAGTGCAGCCCAACATAGCATCCGCCCGTCAAAACGTGCTGGCATTGTATCGGTTTTTATTGATATTTATGCTGCATACTACCATTGCTCAAAAGAGAATCGCCGAAAAGGGCTAAATATGCGCAAAGACGGGTTCTGACCACGTTGGTCGTGCGAGACGTTGCCCTTCGAAAAGAACGACAGCGGGAAGCAAGGCAAGGGAGAGGGTGTATGTACAAGGTGGGGCAGTAAGGACCGCCACATTTGGCACGCCTTGCAAAATTCGAATTCCAAGCATGCATGCGAGAAATTGGGCACGGAAACATAGTTTAGCAAGAAGTTTTTTGTCTTGTTTTCAGAGCCCAACTCGGAGGATGTGAAATGTTAGAAATAAAGCGAAACCAGTGGCCGTGTATTTTTTTTTGTCCTATAAAAGCCTGTTTGTCGTCTGCACACTGGTTTACAAGTTCGCTCCCGCATGGCTCGCAATACGCAAAAACACTAAGCGCCAATAGTAGAGGCTGGCGATGTGCGAGATAATCGCGTTGATTAATACTTTTAACAATATATGATGAATAATGACCACCTGTGGAAAAGCTCAAAAACCAGTGTGCAGACAACAAACATCCGGTATATGCCATAGGAAATGCACAGCCGTCGTTTGTACTTTAATTTTGATATATTACCATCTCTGACTTAAGCTTTGAAAAAAAACACATACATCATGAGAGACTATGTTCGCGTCCCAATTGCGGGTATGCAAGAATTTGAAATTTTGCGATGCAAGCCGATGTGTTGATCCCTAAGGCTGCACCCTGTAGGAGCAGAGGCATACTGGGAAGAATTGTTCGGTGCAGTTTCACAGGAGCCCAAAACATAGGTAGATAAATGTGGCTGAACCCTTTTTCATTGGGCAACAGGTTGTGGCACCTACAGAGTGCAGATCTTCTCTATTTTTGGTGCCACTTATCAAAAATGGGAAGCAATAGTCCTTGAAGATAGCGATGCTTCTATCGCCTCTCATATTGAATGTTCTCTACAGGTCTGAGAAAAAAGGCTCTAGTGCAGGCTGCAGTTCTTTGTTTTTCATCTCTTTTTCTTTGTTCAGTCAATTTGGAACAACGTAGGAACACTAAAACAGCACATACGTGTCACCATCTTTGAGTCTCGCAACACAGTCCTCAAAATCCTGCACGACTTCACCAGGAAAAATAAGGTCTATTGTGCTTCGATCCCCACCATGTCGAATCTCGGGAGATACAGTGAAATACAACTCAAACAAATTTCAATGCACCTCAAAGAATAGTTTACATCGGTGAAAGTTCACTTCATTAAATGCTTTATGCACAGTGTGGCTTTGCTGGGGAATTTGAGTTTGTTCATCTGAATAGTTTTTTCAATTCAAGTTTCTTCAAGTGGTATTTCACTGTACGCTTTGTTTCTCCATGAGTGCAAGCAACGTAGAAGCTGCTATAGACCGGAGGTCAGGTTTATGAAACAATCTGACGAACGCTGGATCCGAAGATATCCGAAAAAAGCTACAACGGCAGCAATTTCGCCATTCAAGCAGCTGCCAAGCGCTAGTTCGGCACACTAAGCCTAGCAAGGCAGTCCTAGGCTGTGTTGTTCCGACTGTCCCTGGCCTGCTGAATAGAATGTGCTCGCGCGACCCCTGTCGACCCTTCCCGTATAAATAGTTTAATTTCTGACCTCGATTTTCAGCTCAGAAGTCAGTCTCTTCCCCTTGTCATTGCCTTGTTTTCAGAGGCAGCGACGGCAAACGCTCTTGTTGAAAAAGGAAACTTTCGTTGATTCTACAGAATGTAGAGAGATTCATTTATTTATTCATTCATTCATTTGTTTATTTTTTGTGCTCATGAAACGCTTGAAGCCTTGATAATGATGCACAATTAACATTTAGCAAAAAAAGAATAATTCTACAAATTGACTAAAAAAAACTTGAACGCTACAAAGATGGTTATAGATTCGCAAGAGAAAACTTGAACGCTGCAAAAGATGGGTTAAAATGTCAATGCAAGAATCATTGAAAGTATTATACAAGGTCTGAATACGTGTCATGGGGCAGGTTCGGAAAAATTCATTAACATAAAATGGAAGAGAAATTCGCAAAAATCTTCTCAGGACATGAATATTTATCGATAAAGTTAGGTCAGGGCAATCATTGACTCCGTGAAGGCATTTGAACAAACATATGAGATCTCTGTTGCGTCGTCTGGCACTCAAAGTAGAACAATTGTATCGCTCTAAAAGTCTTCTATATTCAAAGTAAACAATGTAAACAACATAGTGGTCGTACAAAATTCGAAAAAACTTTTCTGGACATTTTCAATCGACTCTTGGTGCGTACGCCCAATAGAATTTCACACAACTGACGAAAACTCTAGCTTAGACCTAATTAATGAAAAGTATAACTGCATAATGCAGGCCTACATGAAAAACTCGCGTGTAATTCTGAATATGACACCTAACGTACGAAAATACGCGTTGACAATGTTATTGACATATGTATTAAATGACAGAGAAGAGTCTATATAAACTCCAATATCACGAGTGCAATCCACCCTTTGCAATGGGGCATTGGCGAGTTGGTAAGAAAAATGAAAGGCCTTAGCTTCTTAGCAAATGACATAACAACAGTCTTATTGGGATTAAGTGTCACCCTGTTGAGACTACACCAATCGCTCACTGATTTTACATCATCCATTAGTTTCACACAGTCCTCTACAGATACTATCTGCCTAAATAACTTGATGTCATCGGCGTATTGCAGGATTTCTGAATGTAGAACACGTGTACGAAGGTCGTTTATGAAAACAATAAAAAGCATTGGTTCAAGAATGTACCCCAGGGGAACACCAGACAGGGTGACAAAAGGCCGGGAGAGATGACCGAGAATACGTACAAAGTTCTATCTATCGGAGAAATAATTGTGAAGCAATGTGCATAGTGTAGTACTCATACCGTACGATATCACCTTTTGTGAAAGTAACGAGTGGTCAACCAAATCAAATGCCTTGGACATGTCAAAATATACACTGTCAACCTGACCCTGCTGACACACGATAGGCGAAACGAAATTAAGAAAAGACACCAAGTTTGATTATACTGATCTTCCGCGCACAAAACCGTGTTGTGAGGGCAGGATTTTATGTTTAAAAAAGCTCGAAATATGTCCCGAAAGTACTGTTTTGTAAACCTTTGCAAATGGACATAATAATGAAATGTGTCTATACTTTGTTAGGTCATCTGTTCTTCCTTTCTTATGCATCGGCACCGTTATCGCGTTTTTCCAAATCGAAGAATAAGTGCAAGTCGATAAAGAAAAGTTAAAAATATGCGTTAGAATGGGTGTGAAAATGGAAGAACATCCTTTGACAATAAAACTCGGGATACCGTCAAATGCGACCGATAACTTAGGTTTTAGTTTTGGATTGCAAGTTTAATGTCAGCAATTTCAAATAATGGGACTGATAGGCAATCGCTACCACTGTCACCAACGTCAGGCGCAGATAAACCATTCCGGCTGCAAGAATATACAGAGGCAAAATAGCTCGCAAAAACGTTCGCTACTTCTTCGGGTTCACTTATCGGAATTCCAGATGAGTCAGCGATGTTTGTTGTCGATGCAGTTGTGGCTGTACGGTTCTTGACGTGCCTCCAGAACTGCAATGGGTCACGATATAAACGGCGCTCTGCAGACTCATGGTGCACTCTCTTATCGCGCTGCAACAACGACTTTGCCTGCGCACGTGATTCGGAAAACTTGGCGTACCAAAACGCTGAGTCAGAAGCCTTATATTTCATATGATAATGCAATTTGGATCTTAAGGCTGATCGCAGCTCGAAAGAATACCAGTGAGGATACCGAGTTGTTTGGAGACGTTTCTTAGGAACGAAGCGCTCAAGTGCAGATACGATATGTTTAGTAAACGCTGCTACCGCACAGTTTACATCAGTCATGTTGTATATGTGTGCCCAGTTTACGTTATCCAAATATTGAAAGAGACCAAAGATCGCCTCTTGAAAAGGAGAACGAGACAGGATTTGTTTTTTGCTTCACGTTCCCCACAAAAAGCTTAAGGGAGACAAGGAATGGGACGTGCAAAACTTCGGGTGATACCAATGGGTTAAGGACACACACTAGGCTGTCGATGGCAAAGTTAGATAGAGCAAGATCTAGGATTTTTCCTGCATGGTTTTTAAGACTATTCCATTGGTTCAGTCCCTGAAAGTTAATAAAAGACAAAATGATATTTGCCTTTGGTGAGGCATTACGAGTGGGCAGAGCTGAGTGTTCTGGGCTCCAATTTATATCAGGAATGTTGAAATCACCAAGTATGAGTATACTGTGTCGGTCTACATCTAACTTATCTCCGACTGTATCTAACTGATCAGAAAGCATAGATGCATTAAATTTAGGAGGAAAATAAAATGTGCCGATTAGAAGGCTAGTCTTATCACGGAGAGTTATTTCAATCCAAACGGATTCGCAGTCTGACTCAAAATCGAACCTGCGAACCGCATGCAAGTGATTTTTAACTGCAATGAGGACTCCGCCACCGAAGTTTACAGTCAAATTTTCATAATCTCTGTCCCGCCAGAAGACTGTGTATTCGGGGGGAAAGTAATCATTTGTTGCGAAGGAGCTGTTCAACCAAATTTCAGTTAGTGAAATAATATCGAAATCACTTAGAACGACGTTGTTAAAAATATATTAGCTTTTGCGCGCAACCCGCGTACATTTTGGTAAAAGAGTGAACAATTTATGCTGCGATCTAATTCGTCGTAATTGTGTCACGATCATCATTACCCCGTACCGCTCCAAAAAAATGGTCTGAAAAGAGAGCCCATTGGCCAGACGTCCGCCACATTAATTTTGTTGAAGTCTTCCTCATTCACAGGTATGTGGAAAGAAGAGTAGCTATCATGCTTTGTTTTCAACTGGATGCCGGTAAAAGGTTTCCCTTCCAGAAGGGCAGTAAGAGCTGCTCCTACATCATCGCACGAAGTGTCTGGACTAAGGCGGGAAACAAAAAGTGCCTCGAGCCTCGGTCGTCTAGGGACTGACGACAGCTTACTGCTTGCACAAGTTCCAGAAGAAGGCTTGACGTGTTTCTTCCGTTGGACGGGCGTAAATCCATCAGCGTCTTTCAGTGCTACCTCGTCCGTCACCTGGACTGGCAGTGCGGAGGAGACCACAGTAACGGCAGGTTTCGACGAAGACTTGTGTGCGGTAGAACGACTACTTCCAGGCGTCGCCTTGCCGCCGTCCGTCCGAGAGTCTTGGCCAAGGGCCGCAAAGGCCCGCAAAAATCACTTTCTCAATGTATCGCCTCATGTTCACCACTTGTGCTAACTTGATCACTACACCTGAAAAACCTCTTCCTTTTTCTTTCCTTTTTTCTTTTCAAAAATATGTTGTTTGGTGGAAAGCCCTTTCCGATTCCTTTGTCACCAAAACTAACCCCAAATGTTTTTAGACTCTTATTTCTTTTATTTAGAAATGTTCTGATTTCTCTTCTATCATTTCTTGTTTAAAATAGTGGTGGCTGTGTGACTTGCTTTAGTTATTTATTCTTTTTTTTTGCTTCGATTCTTTTGGTTGTTTCTAGTTAGTTTTTTCTCGTAAGGTGTGTGCCTTTTCTTTTATGTAATCCAGTTGAGAAGACCTTTAAAGGGCCACCGAAAAAAAAAAGTTTTTTTGAACAGTTTGGTTGGGACACGCGTCTCAAAAAATAAATTTTACGCGAAAAAATACATTTTTGGAGCAGTTTTGAAGGCTCGAGATTTATTTAAACTTCTGCGTGGAATGTCCATGACGTCACAGAATGGTCATACACTCTCGCCACCTCAACGTGAGGGCCAAGCCGATCCACCTCTCCTCCGTGCACCCGAAATGCCGAGAGAGAAAACAAGTAAAAAGGAGGTTACTACCGACTAAATCGCGTCTCACGCCGTCAATATTGCTCTAAAACTTATTTTGGTTTTGCGCAAAGTTAGTTTTTTGACACGCGTGTTTCAACCAGACTGTTTAAAAACATTTATTTTCAGTGGATCTTTAAGGTATTTCAGTAAATAAATAAATAAATAGAAGATTGGTCCCGAGGCGCTGACCGAGATGCAGTCCAACAGCGCTGTTCCAGGGATTCGATCAAACAGGCGCATGTGCCCTTCTAGTGTATTAAATAGGTATTGACATGGCTCTTGCCGACACTTTTGTAGTTCACATGTATGTTCTTGGACGACTGCTCGCTCCTACAGCCCCGAGGCCGCGAAAAAACGCTGCAGCAATTTTTTCCCCTGTTCGCCGCTTTTGCAGACGAACAGTGCAAGCCGTCTTCTTTTAGCAACGATGGTAGTTGTGTTGACTTCGTAGTGATTGAGTTTACAGCAGTCGACCGAGGCAGTTATTTCGGCATTCTCTCTCGATATTAGGGCCCATGTAAATCATAGCGTCGTCATTTCACTGCGCGGAAACAATCTCCAGACAAGCATTGGCGGAAAGTCCACCTGCGCTTGTTGTAATTCAGAATCCACGTGCTCCGAAGCGGGTTGAGCCCTGATAGGTTGTTTGTGTTGCCGAAAGGACTAACGCCATAGCAACAGCCACGCTCTCGCTGGCATCGGGAGCTTGCAGGGCACCAAAAGACTAGAACTTCAGTTCGTAAATATTAACTTTCGCACTTCGTACGATGTGTGCAACTTGCGAACATAGCTAAGTTGCGTAGCCTGAGAAAGTCTTCGTGAATCTGGCCACTGTAGCTTTCAAGTTTCGACTAGTGCCCGTGGCAAGAAAAATCAAGTATCCTTCGGTCGTGTTTTCCACATTGTTTGAAACAAATCTGAAAGAACTACATGCTTATCATTTTGGGAAGACTCTGAAGCCCCTGCTGTACATTTGTTTTGTTGTTTTTGTTAGCACACTAGAACAGGTGCTGACAGACGCTCGGTGTATGACCACAACTTGTACACAATTGGACGCTGCAACGTCACATTTATGATTGCATCTTGCAAATACTAAAGCGCCAATGTACACTTTTGAACGTGTATAGACGGCTACAGACCTTCGAAGACTGTGTCGGAACGGGATAGAAAACTGGAATCTATCTTATTTGCAGACGCGGCATTCGATAGAGAAAGTCCTGGACTGGGAGAGTTGTCACCTTTACCACAAGGTAAGTGTGCCTTTAACGCCATGCGGTCCTGTTTTTGTGCCCATCGCATTTCTGCAGGCAACCGTTAGAGGGCTGTCTCATTCTAAGATTGGGCTGAAGTCAAACACGAAATTACACTATTCTACTTCATTTCAACTTTAAAAAACGTTGCACCTAGTACCCTATCTTTTGAGAACAGGAATGTCTCAAAATTTGTCTGTCACAAAGAACATTTTTTTTTACTAATATTTATGCTACAATACAAACGTTTTGGTTTGCAGACGAAACCGAAACTGTACCCCTGTGGGATGATAATGATAGCGTTTGTAACCAACTAGTGTCCGCTCTGAGTTTGCTGGACCTCCGAGTTGCCTCCGAGCGAACACTATAGCCCATTTCAACTCAAGAAGTTGGGGCGAGGGGAAGGAAGGCTGGGGAGGAGCAAGCAGACGGTATGCTGGAGAGGAGAGGGGGAAACTTCCTCCTTTCTTTTGCGTTTCGTCTGCCTCCTCCTCCCCAGCCCTCGTTTCCCTCGCTCTACTTTTTTTTTTATAATAATAATAGTTTATTTACCATATACATGTATGCTATATGGTGAAAGCTGGGGAAGAAAGCTTACAAAGAGCTTGACTGGTCCCCAGCCCCCTCACAGGAACACAGCGGTGTCAAAAATTGTACAAAGCAAAGAAGTCTACCAATGCAAAACAGGAATAAGAAAACAAAGGGAAGAAAATCAAAACACTGGGCCGAAAATGCCAACTAGATATCAGCCACACACAACAATGAAGGAAATGGACTTGCAAAATACAAAAAGTTAACACGACATTATTTCAAAGAAAATATTCATGGATGTCACGTGGGGTTAAATATACTATATCAACATTGGAATGCGAGAAAGTGTTGAGCAACGGAGGCAGGGCTCTTCTAATCGTCTGAAGGCCGTAGTCAGTATACGCGATGTATCTATCTATTATCAGAGGGTCAGGGTGACGAAGGGTATGCGTTTGCGGTTTTTTTCTGACGGAAGCCAAGTCAAATAAAAATCTCTTACTCTTGGTATATTCTTGTTTATATTTCATGGCAAGTCTATATTTGTAATATTTATATATTTTCTTTATCCCCAGATTAGCAAAAACTTTCTTCAGTTGGAATGGACAATAAATAGTTTCGTACAAACCTGGCCTAGAGTACAGTTTGGTATTGACCGCATATCGAAAAATTTGTACTGCATCATCAATACAACAGGGTGATTCAAGGAGACGCCAGGCTCTCTAGATCAGCCACAAAATTCGGTTTCTTAACCTATCACGCTACGACTTTGTGCAGCGTTGCTCACAGATGGTACATTTTTTGTAAAATTTGCAAAGAGCGAACTTACTTGAGGAAAAAGTAAAGAAAGAAAAAGGCTTAGCTCCTATGGAAATGCAGCGAAGCCACCGGTCTTCAAACAACATGGCGCCGTTTCGCACGGGAGACAAGAGATGGCGCAAGCGGTCGCGACGCCAACTGCCGCCAACAAACGAGCATACGACGCTGAGAGCCGGCGTCTTTAGCAGACGAGAAACTGCAGTTTTTTTGTTGTTACCGCGCCTGTTTTTGCTTTTGCGACTGTCGCCGACAGCGGAATGCGCGCCGCTTTTGAGTCGAGAAGATTCTCTGCTAAAAACGCCGGCTCTGGGCGCCGTATGCTCGTCCGTTGCGCCATCTCTTGTGTCCAGTGCGAAACGGCGCCGTGTTGTTTGAAGACCGGTGGCTTCGCTGCATTTCCATAGGAGCTAAGACTTTTTCTTTCTTTACTTTTTTCCCAGGTAATTTCGGTCTTTGCAAATATTCAAAAAAAAAATGCACCATCTGTGGGCAACGCTGCACAAAGTCGTAGCGTGATAGGTTAAGAAACCGAATTTTGTGGCTCATTTAAAGAGCGTCTCCTTAAATCACCCTGTACAAAACAAAACAAAAAAAATTTTTATATGCATTTATTTTGAGAGATGTATTTATTTTGAGAGGTCCTGTCCTTCCAAATAAAAAACGTTTTTTTTCATAGGTTTAGTGTTTTTATTTAAGAGTGGATACTACTCAGGAAAGCAAACTTTTTAATCGTTAGTCTTTGTCGTATAAAATTTGCAGAACATATTGGTAGTTGGTAAAGAGGATGACAAGCTAAATTTTAAAAGTATAAGTATTTTTTTTAAGTTACATAAATGTACATAAAATGAACATGCACTCCCCCCCCCCCCCCCCCCCCCAGAAAAACTCGTTTCGAAAAGGAGATGATAATGGCCAGTTCTTTTGAACAAGCATGCAGTATAACATCTCTGTCACACGGCTATGTAAAGAAATGACAAAACACCATTTCTATTAAAAGTAAAAATGTGAAAATTAAAAAAATTCTTTACCTGCATTCGGTTTAAGTTATTGCAGTTTTTTTATAACAAAGGACCATGAAAATGCAAAAAGTAAGCTCATAGAAAAGTATGTTCTTTACAAAAGTTTCAGTACAGAAATTTCAGAAATTGGATCCACACATCATTTCATTATCAAATGGTAGCTTTCCTGAAACAAGATTTGATGCTGAAAAGTGAAACTGAGATAATTGTGTTTGAAAGTTCAGAAACCCACACTTCAGGTGGCACCTGCATGTCGGAAGTAATTTATTGCAGAAAAAAATACTTCAGTTAAGGGAGTGAAACTTTCTGTCAGCACCCATGAGGATACTTGAAAGCTGCTACAAGGTAGTTGGGACCAATCAAGCAACTTTAAAACCACAAGATGAACTAGTCTGTCTGCAATTGGTTCAGCGATGATAGAACGCACACATAAACAAGAGAAGCACCATGACGGTGCGCGTCTGACACTGCCTTATCGGTCACGTCAGCCCAAAGTGTCGGATGTGTCTGCACTTGAGGTGAAACAATGAATATCTTTATTATGCCGACAAGGACTGGGTAGGCACAAAAGGCTACGAGCTGTGACAGAATGACGCCGTCTTGATATCACCATGCCATGGCGTCAGGTGACGTCACAGTCCTTTGTGACACTTCTTCATGACTGCTCTTCACGACGGTTTTCTCCTAAGAGTTCGGCTGCAAAAATGCGTTCTGTAATCAAACGAACATCAAATTCCTGTTCAGCAAACAAAGGCAATAGGTAGGAGAATCTGTGTAGTACAGTGCAATCCACTTCTAACGACACCAGATATAACGATGTACTGCTTATAACGGTCAGTTTCTAGAGTTTCAAGACTAGAAACGCCCAGCTTTTAGTCCAGATACAACGATAATCAGTTATGACGAATGAATTTTGGGGTTTTTCATTATCGTTATAAGTGGATTGCACTGTAGTCAACCGAGCCACACTTTCTTCGTGCTGGCTTTACTCGATAATGGGTAGACTTCTAATAGAAAGGCTCGCGCATCTTCGACGTGCCTGCTTTGCACATCAAGCACATACAGTTAGCCACTCTGATTTAGAGAGGGAGTGCAGAAAATGTGATCTGTGCCAAGGTTCTGACCATGTGAACATCACGCTCAACATTCCGGCGGTTTCACTCCTTTTTCTAAATCAGATCTTTGCCTCGTTAATTTTGTGCAAACAATTAACCTCCAAGTTCTTGGTGAGGAAGTGAGTGTGCGGGTTTTGTTCATAAAAATGCCGACCTATTACTAGAGACACCACAGTGTGAACATTTTTCTGTCATTTTGGTTTCTTCCACCTTTTAATATTCAAAAGGGGGGGGGGGGAGGTGTCCACTACACTGCATTCGTTTCGTCATGACAGCAGGAACATCATCTGCTGACTGCTCCGATTTTCAGAAACGTAGAGAAATTTTGTGCAAACGCTTGCTCCGTTGCAGCAAGTAAGTGCTGCAGACAGTCTTGCATCCACACTATACACCTTCGGCAATCGCACAACCTGATAGCAGGTTGTAGAGTCGTCATATCATATGATGATATGATGTATTATCAGTATGTCATGTCATCATCATATCAAGGCGATTCATGCTAGAGTACAATCTCTTTATACTGAAATCCGAGTCATCACACAAGCCTCTCCCTCTTGACGGGAATTCCACCCATCGTATGACTAGAAGACCACTCTGAAGGTACGGTGAAGTTTCAGTTGCATATCTATAAAAAACCGCCCGTGAAAGTTCCACCCAAAAAAGCTTCTGCCATATTTATTTAGCCTAGGCGTAAACCCCCCATGGGGGGCACAGGACTGTTGCTCAAACTCTTGCAGATTATTCAACGGTTAACGAGCGTGTTGCTTTGTTTCAGCTCGGTCTAAATTGGAAGCTTGGAAAGAAGTGGTGCGATTCCAACAGCACGATGGAATACGTAAGTACCGTCCTATCGAAAATGGGCTCCAGTTATTGAAACTACTCTACGTCAGCTTGTTCGTGCTACAGCTACGAGGCTAGCACAGCTTGTGCAGTGCTCAGAGAAAAAGCTTATAAATAAGAAAGTGAAGACGTAGAGACACTTCTTCCGTTTCTCAGGCTTCTGTTGCGCAGGTTGGCAGCAAAGTTGGCGAGATCACTGAATGTCGCTATTGCCCGGTGCCAAACGTGGCGATGGTCAAGAAATGGCAGCTGTTGTTGCCGTTTTCTCGACCAAATGTTTCTTTAATTAACTTGTATATATTTCCAAGAGTGGCTTTTGATCCGACACAACCCTTACAGAAATGTCATATATGGCGCAGATATGTTTAATATAGGGCCGTATATGGGCATATAACTAGTCATATACGGTCATATATCGCCATATAAGGGCTGAAATCAGGGCAGATATGGTAAGGCAACACCATATATGAAAACATATAATGCCAGATAAAGTCATATATGGTGCCAGTGGCTGCTATATATAGCAGTATAGGATGCCTGATACTCCTGTATATGGCACTATATGGTGCCAGTCAACATGCAGATACAGGTAGCACTCCGCTTCGGCCGGTATCGGGACATCGGGACTACGCCGGCCCGCCAATGGTAACAGGATGGCAGCGCCTGGCCATGGGCACCGGGGAGCTACCGGCCCCGGCCGGCGTCGGGTTTCGTCTTGCTCATTGGCCAGTCCAGCCGTAGAAGTTACAATGACTGGCAGGCATCGGGTTTTTGCTGTCTTTGCTGGCTAGTCTTTCCATCGAGGTTCCAGTAACTGGCCGGCATCGGTATTTTGCTGTCTTTGATGACCGGTATTTACGGAAGTTCAGTAACTGACCGGCACCGGTATTTTGCTGTCTTTGATGGCCAGTATTTACATGGAAGTTCCGTAACTGGGCGGCATCGGTATTTTGCTTTCTTTGATGGGCAGTATTTACATGGAAGTTCAGTGACTGGCCGGCCTCGGCGCTTTGCTGTTCGCAGGCTGACGAGCCCCGGGAACTTCCGTTTACCGACCGGCATCGTTCTAATTTTTTTTTGCCTTTTTCACTGTGATTGAGATTCCGACGAGCTGCGGCGATTCATGTGTAGCGAGTGGAAATGTTTGCGTTGATCAATCCTTCGTAAATGACCGCCGACGCTGGCGTATTTGATCCCACATGGCAAGGCTGACGTGTTTTATCGCGAAAACGCGAAAGAAAAAACAATGCCGTGACCAAAATTTGCAGTCCAAGATTTGAGAATCTGACCCCTACGCCACGAAAATTAAATTTTACAACGCCGAACGACACTTTTTTAAGGAAGTTAGTTTAATTTGATGTACTATACTTAAGGTCTGGCGTTATACACACGTGTTTGGCTCTGATAAAAAATAAAAATGGTATAGCGGAGCCTCGAATGAAAAAAGAAAAAAGACGTGGCATGATTGAGCACGCGCTTTGGGCTACAAAACAATAATAAACATTACTTTCCAGAAACTAGAAAAGTAAGAGATGTGTTTACTGCTTATAACGCTAAGAGAGGCACATAAATCTCCTAAGGGATCATTTTATTTGTGATTTTAATCTAGTGTGAAAATATGCTATTTAGGGGAGGAATCGACTGTTTTATGTGGTAGTTACGATCATCTAAGAGGAATATTTTAAATGTTCACATAGCCAAAAGATATCTGTCTCTTTAATAGCTTATGTTATACGACATACCGTACCAGAGGACCGCGAATATAAAAACTTTTTTTGTTAGTAAAAAAAGCGAGAAACACCAATGCGTTGTGGATGTACATACTTCTCGTCTAACGGCAATTACATCAATCTTTTTATTACGAATGAAATGGTCTGAAGCTTACACATTCTTACTGTGTTAGCCATTACACATTCTTACTGTGTTAGCCATTGTTCAGTGTCGGCTATTGGCTTTCTTAGTAAGCCAAACTGTAGCCGACAGCCATTGCTGCAGTTTTCGTGATGAAATGTTTCTGCAATCAATGTACACAACTTTCAAAGAGTGGCTTTTCTTGCAAGACAAAATTAACAATGTAATTTTGCTTATGCTCACTGTTTGACTTGTTATCTAACCATTTTTTTTACAAACAAAAATAGTTAAGTTTGCTAATTATGACGGTCCCTTACCACTGGTTCTGAAACCAGCTGCTGCTCATTGAATTCATCCCCAAGTTGGCCATCCATCGGCCCGACTAAAGGCCGACGAGCCAGTCCCCCTTTCTCAAGTGTTGCCGCGGCGCTCGGACCAATGAGGCGGCAAGAGGGCTCTCGAGGACGACCAGAGCGCAGCGAATCTCTGTCACGGCGGAACGAAGACAGCCCCGCCCTGAGCATTTGCTGCGTCTCTTTGGAGACCGTCTTACAGACAAGAAAACGGCGCAAGGCAAGAGTTCTTAGCCGACACCACAAGACTGCTGTACCAAGTGGAGACGCAAGAGATCTGATATGTCGTTTAAAAGAAACGCGCGACCAGAGATAGGTCGCAAACAAAAAACAGAAGAGAATTGCACAGGTGCCTTTAATTTACCGTGTTTAAACGTACGTAGGACGCGCTTAGACTTAACAAACTGGAGTTTGCTGGAAGCAGCGTCAAAGACCTGTTGCTTGTTCGATGCTATCAATCCTTTTTAGATTTCAGCAGTTGCAAGCTGTCTGAGCGTAAACTCGGAAGCAGTAGGAATAAAGTTGTTAGCGGGCGCTCCGATCTAAAATACGCAAATGTTGTTGACAAGTGTGCTCGTACAATTAGCGTCATCAACTCCGTAACGAGTGCACCTGGCATTTGAGACTGCTTCCTCGTTGACTGCCGACAAAGTTTAGAACTTTATGGCGTGCCATTGATCATGATCGTCGGCTTGGATTGTGTTGGCTAAACCCTTTTAACCGGGCAATCAGTTTCAGAAACGTTAGGAAAGGGTACACACATCAAAACTTGACATTGTGTGTCTCGGAGCTTTGCAAATCGGCGCCAATTGTTCGCTTTTCACGAATACGAGCCAACTGTAAGAGAAGGATGCCACGAAGAGTGTGTTTGAAAACCTCGAGTATTGTACATTCTCCTTGTTCTTGCGACGCATCAGAAGTCCCTAGCCAGGAAATTTTTTCTTCTCCTTTTTTTGTTGTTTTTTTCTTGCAGAGAGGAAGGCAATGCAATATGAATGGTGAACTTTGAGAGGCCAAAGATGAGAGTCGTTTTGTAATAGAGGGTGGGCATGTATTTCCTTACCAACGGGAAAATGGTGACTTCAGTTTTGCGATACCGAGAGCATGTAGCTGCACATGGCAATGTTCCGAGCGATTCTTATTGTCTGTTTTCTGAGATGTCTCGATATCCTAATGTTTTGTTGTGGTTGTGCACTCGTTTCAAAGAGTATTTTCTTTCAGAGTTTCCGCCTCATCTCGACTATTGTTTGTTGTACAAACCTTCTTTTTGTGTATCATACACGTGCCATGACATAAGGAAACTCAATGCACGACCACCATGAGAACAAAAATATACTGCGGTGGCCACAGAATTTCGCTGCACACCTTCGTCGAGGTTTCTATTTCTTCTGCACCGACGCTCGAAAGAAAACTTCAAGATGGCGGGAGGCTAGTGCCCCCAACGGCGGACAAGTATTGTCGGAATTATAAATAGCAAACTAGGTTCACACGTTTTATTACTCTACTATTACTGCTGACGAAAGCAACCTTGCAAACCAATGTTGCACAGCGAGTACAGTATCGTGTCAAGTGACAGTAGGCAGTTGGTAGTTGTTTGAAGTGCGCCACATATGGAATTGGCAAAGCACCGTGCAAGAGCTTAGGAAGCCTGTAGCCGCTACCAGCCGACGAATGCAAACTCAGCTTGAATAACTACATTGCCTTCAGGTGCCCTTGGTAAGAAAAAGCAAAATACAAACGTGCTCTCCCTTCAAACTTATTTCGTCGGCCAGTAAATATAGTTTTGTTTCGTTTCTTTTTTTTTGAGGGAGCCATGTATCATACATCTAAATACGGTTGAAAAGTGCATACATTGCTTTTGTTCGGTTGGGTAGGTAGCCTTTGTGATGACAGTACTTGGAGGCGCATATATATTATTCTTGTAACCCGAGGCACCTGTACAAAATGTTAAAACGTTTTTTTTTTGTTCTGAATTATTGGCATATTTATTTTGGCTACGAACTCTCGCATTTTGACCTAAGCATATCACAAAAGGTAAAAAAAACAAGTGCACCTAATTAATGGCAGCGTAACGTCGTGTACCTCTGAAGTGTGGGACATTAAAAGGAAAACTTGTACTTAAAAACATTGCATTCCACAGAATGGTTGACTTTTTTTTCGTGGCATGATCATAGAAAATTACGCTGGATAGTCTTTTATAACATATGGAAACCTTGCAGCTTTCAATTAGAACTGGTTGTAAAATGCTGGTGACAAGAGTTTTAAATTGAGTTAATAGAAAGTGTACATTAGCAGTGATGTGATTGCTGTGCCAAACTGCGCGAAGGGGCTAACCCTGCTACATTTTGACAAAATACGGGTGTTCTGCGCCAAGCCTGCTCCAAAGGATTAATTTTGGTCGCCTTTCAAAACCGAACCTAAACTAAGAACGTAATTGAGCATGCGTGAGCTATGTGGCGCAAGCGGCCGCCCGACACAAAGTGCCCTGCATCCATCCGGTCTTGCATGGTTTTTGCCGCCGTCTCGCGTTCCGTGCCTCGTCGTCTCGGGAATCTCGTCTGGCGTCTTTTTTAAACTTCTTCAACGACAGGCGCGGGCGTGTGCGAACGCCCCGACGCTAGTGTGCCGGGTGCCAGACATGCCGTCATGGTGTGAAACAAAACCACGTTTTTGCGCGACGAGAGTTGCTTTGCTGACAACATCAATCTCTTGTTGAAAAAGGCACGAAAAGGAATTTTAAAACGAACTAAGGGGGGACACTACCCAAAAAAGTGAATTTTTGAACCAATTGTCTGATTTAAATAACATTTACAGGGCTTATTTTTGTTGACGTTGAGAATATTTCTGCCAAATCTTTTTAACCTGGGTAAAGTACAAAAAAATTGCAAATGTTTAAAGAAGATAGTGGGCGTGTCTGCGTAGGAAAACTATTGTTTCGAAAATACTTATAAATTTGTCGTTTTCACGTGTTATATTCCTTTAGGACAGTCGAGCCATATTTCTATATTATACCATCTTTCATGACAAAAAGGCCACATAAACTCAAATACTGTTGTTTAGATTTCCATTCTTTGTCCAAGATTTTCATTCTTGACCATGAAAATGACAAAAATAAAAAATACAAGCTGATAGCTATCTTCCCCTTTAAATTTAACTCCAGAAGAACTCATAAAAATTAATCCAAGTTACGTAATAAGAAAAGGATAGTTTTCCTAAAGTGAAATTTATGCCAAAAAGTGGAACGGGGAAAAATGTGTTTAAAGTGTTCCAACCCCTGGCTTTCCTTTAGCATCGGAGGACCGAAAATAATTTATAAAAAATTCACTATGCAGTGTAAGCTAATGAAACATTCTGCGAACATTGTCTAGATGTTGGTGGAAGTAAATATGGCATTTTTTCAAACTCAACTTTTTTTTCTGAAATTGTTTTTTCTGGGTAATATCCCCCTTTAAACGATTAGCAAAGAGCACCTGGTGGATGTCTCTAACGCCTCGTTTGTAATGCCCGTCTAGGAACCTTGAGAGCTAGTGAATATGACTGCCTCGCCTCCGGCCACCACGAGAGAAAAGGGGAAGGAGGGGCTCCCCTCCCCCTGTGAATATCCTTTGTGTCTCCCAGAACTCGCTATTGTCCCCCTACAAGATTATAGAAGATTAACCTGTCACTCAAAATTCATACAAAAGCAGCCGCTTCGGTTTCTGGAACCGTTAGGACATCGCGGCATCAGCCTCGCCGAGGCTTTGCTCGTTCCGAGATGAACTACGTCACGATTGCGGTGAATGCCACGTGCTCTCCGCTGGCTGCTCTCCAAGCGCTTGCCAGAGTGGGCCGTTAATAACCAAAAATACAGTGATCAGGCTCAAAATACCGACGTGCAGTTATCATTTACGGGTATTGAAGATCATATTCAACCTGTTTCTGAACACGACTGCTATTTATCAAATTTTGTTAAAGTGTCCCTTTAATTCAAAGACTGCTTGTCGAAATAACGATTACCTAGGTTCCTCTCGGTGGGCTTCCTTTTGAGAGGGACATTGGTACATAAAACATTTGCAGCAAAAGAAAGTTGGTGAAGGGGAGAGAGCTAAAGCGAAAAAGGCAATGTCTGCACGCTGCACCCGCACATCGTGGTTGCTTCTCTCGAGTTTAGTCTTTGCACAAAGCGCTCCAAATTTTTTACCCTGGCTCGCGATGTCTTGCATCGATGCGCTCAAGTTCTTTTCTCCTGTGTGTTTAGCTTGTATCTCACCTGCCGGTCTGGCAAGCACGCGCCACTGGAGTGTTGTTTTGTCGTATGCTGGACAGTTACATTTTGCATACTATTTTGGGAACCAGTTGGCGATGGAGCGGAGTGGCATTGTTCCGATTTCGATTGAACAGCCGTTGCCTCCGCTTGCGCGACGAAGCACGTACCAGTGAAAGCATGCTGATGTTGCCCTCACGTGCATGTGAACATGACTACACGGCAGAGGCACCAGCAGGGACTCTTGCAAATTATTGTTTTATGTTTGCTTACTTTTGACGAAAATCTGGCACGTCGGGAACACAAAAAGCAAGTTCTGTAACGACACAGCACAAACCGCCCTTCGTTAGTCCAGCACTTCAAAGAAAAAAATGTTCTAAGAATTTTCATTTCAAAAACCACTTTTGCTGCTGCGAAACACTGTTTTGGCTGCTCCAAGAGATGCTCCAAAATGGCTTAGGCCAATCACATCACTGCATTAGGTTTGGCAGTAGTGACTGTTTGATAGACAAAAAAGTCCCGATAGTTTGCAATGCACTCTTGCCATTTACTGGGCAACACACATCCAGAAAGTTTGTTCATTGTAGACCTACAACAACAATATTCTTTTAGAAATGAGCCTATATAGTCTCTGAAAACCATCTTCACTGATAAGACGTTCTCGCATCAGACTGTAGTTTCAGCAAAGGAGATAAGCACACGGGTTCAGGCCTTTTACTGTGGACACACAGCAAATCATTTCTTGATAGCAAGATAAGTATTCAAGTTTTTAGAAAGCCAACTATTCAACAATCAAGACATTCTCACATCAGACCCTAGTTCCAGCAAAACAGTTGAACAGGTAGGTCCAGGCCTTTTATTGTCCCCAGATGGCACCTTATTTTTCGATGACAAGAGTAGTACTTATACGCAGGAAAGGAGCTTAAATAGTCTTAGAAAGCAAACTTATCAATGATAAGGACATTCTCGCATCACGTACTGTAGTCCCAGCAAAACAAATA